CAGTAGAGCTGGTTAAACTGGGACAGATTGACCCAAATCTGCAAAGTAAATCAAACAAACTGAGTTTAGAAAGCTGTTCTCTGGTAATAAGGAATGTCTCAGTGGAGGATGCTGGTCGTTATCAATGCCAACAATACAAATCTGGAACCAAACCAGATCATCACATCCTGGTTCATCGGTCTGGAGTTGATGTGTCTGTTGTCCACAGTGAGTATTATTATGAAGTCATTTCTATCTTTTATATAGTTATATTAGTTTTTTTTCACTTTACCATGTAATAAATACTTTTTCAGGAGGATGGAAACTTATTTCTAGCTACAATAAGTGCTATATAAGTGTATGTTTTGTGTAAAATGTCTCCTACTGTTTCCTCATCAGTAACTAAACAAAAGGTTACAGATAAAGCGACATTAACTTGTTCTGTGAAGACAAATGGACGGTGTGATTACAAAGTGAAGTGGCTGCATAACTGTCCTGCTGGAGCTACAGATGTGAAACAATGTGAGTCAAAACAGCCTGACTGCTCTGCTGCAGTTTGTTTTATTGGGCAGTCCTACATGGAGGGGTGTAAGTTCAAGTGTGAAGTCACACATGGTGGAACCAGACAGCTCTTCAACTTCAGCGATCCGTCTCTGGAAAACAAATCAGGTAAGAAAACTTGTTGCTTTAGGTCAATTACATCATCTTGAATCTCTGATCTCACAAAATGTCTTGTTTGCATGTAACTATTGTTGCTGCAAATGGGAAAACATGCACATTTTAAGTTTTTGGTTTTGTTATTATCTTTGTCTGAAGTTGAAACAAAAGCTGAAACCACATGCAGCCCAACCAGAGAAATAGAAGGAAGCAGAGAGCCAGGTAAAACCATAACAGACTCATCATCTAATGGAGGTAAAGATGCTGTGATGCTGTTTCTTGGTTGCAGGTTTTTTTTCTCTCCATTAAACTTTTAAACTTGTTTTAAGTGTCAAAAAAATTATAGCATTTCTATAGATCCCCATGAAGACTCATTTGATCATTTTTAAAAGTCTTTATCACAGAGCTTCAGATTCAGATATTTTGTCTTTGAAAAATAATATATCATCACTTAGCTTCATCAAACAATTTACCTACTTGAAGATAATTGTTCTCTCAATACAACCAAACATTATACAGAGAGCAACAGATAAAGTATCAATTGTTCTATGAACAAACTCTCCTGATAACCAGAGTCTGATACAAGAAAATTTGTTTTTTTCCACATATCCACAGCTGCCTTAACCCAAAAAAACCCATAAAACCGAGGTGTTTCATTCAATGCAAACATGGCTTCTTCATTAACGACTAAAGAATGTGGGCCTGGGGTCTTTCAGCATGTTTGCATGTTCTTCCTGAGCATGCGTGGGTTCTCTCTGGGTACTCCGGCTTCCTCTCACAGTCCAAAAACATGACTGTTGGGTTAATTGGCTTCTCTAAATTTCCCTTAGTTGCGAGTGTGTGTGTGTGAATGGTTGTTTACCTCTGTGTTGCCCTGCGATGAACTGGCGACCTGTCCAGGGTGTATCCCGCCTGTCTGTCTGTAAACAGCTGGAGATAGGCGCCATCACCTGACTTGGGATTAAATGTGCCAATAAATGGATGGATATATTAAAATAAAAATTTTTTATATTCATTTACATGTATTTATTTTCAGTGATGGGGGTAACGGTGTTTACCTTTTTTTAATAACGAGTAATCTAACTAATTACTTTGACTGTAACAATTACGCAGTTACCATTACCGACACCCCGTTACTGCACATTACTCAGGTCGCAATTTTAACCATTTTTTCATTATAGCACTCATGTGCGCCTTGTAATGAGAGAGGGGAGGATGAGATTGGCTGATGTATTGTGAGATTACGTCTGTCAGTTGGGTAGGTGGGTGTTTCTGCTGGCGATGTTAACGTACAGCACACACAGAGAGATGGAGAGTGAGGAGGACTCCAGCAGCAAAACAGCGTTTTCCAGATGGAAATACCGGTGTTATGTTGAGCTGTGTTTCCCCATAAGATACGGTTTCCCCTGCACCTCCGAACAGCGCAGGCGGCACGATTCACTCGCATGCTCGCTAAGAGGCGCGTAACAGCAGCCCTGTGTGCACGCTTCAGGGGAACTACTGAGAGCGTGAACAATCAAATGTTAGCCTATATGGAGAAAGGAAGAAAGATGGATGGATGGATGGATGGATGGATGGGATGGATGGATGGATGGATGGATGGATGGATGGATGGATGGATGGATGGATGGATGGATGGATGGATGGATGGATGGATGGATGGATGGA